CCCCCCCCCCAGACACATACACACACACATACACATACTACTTAATATACCTAAACACTTAATTCTACTTTAAACTCTCAGACTGTTTTCAATTTTGAAACCAGATAAAACACATATACATTGCCCAGCAAAGTATTTCCTTTTATTTTTGACCAAGCACTTACAGTCGTCATATTTCTGAACAGCTGGTTCCTAGTCTCTAAGTTCGGCTTCCCTGAACTTCCTGTCCAGTACAGATCACAATAGACATAAACATATAATCTACAGCAAAGGTTGATCTACTAGCTTGATGAAGCATTGAGGGAGAAGAGGGGGCTAGGGGGTAAGGGAGTAGCTTTAGTTGCGTGTTTGTGGAGACACACACAGCTTACCAACACACACTAAGGTGGCTTCATAGGACCCTGCAAAGCAAAGAAGCCACCCTAAAACAGGATATCAGGGCCAATGCTCAGGGGACCAGCTGATTCTGCAGGAAACTAAAGGGGTTATTCAATAATGGGCTGAAGGATTAGGCTCTAACATAGGGTAATCGTTTGTCTCAATTCGGCCGTCGGAGCCCTCCGGCTCAGCCGAACGAAAGGGCTGCTGTATGGGTTATTCACAATAGCCAGCACAGTAGCCGATGTCAGGGGAACGGCTCAGTAGAGCCAAACGCATATGCTTCGGCTCGGCTGAGCTGAAGTCACAACCGAAGTTAGGAGAGAGGTCTGCAGGAACAGTCCAATCTCCCAGCTAATGTAAAAAACTTGGCGGAGCCAGCCGTGACATCACGGTCAACTCCATCCATTTATTTTGATTTGCCCAGGACCTACGGGAAGAATGTGACAGGTGCCAGACAAATGTAAACAGTTGGGCAGAGCTAGCGGTGAGGTCACCGCTAGCTCCGCCCAAGTGTTTATATTTTGCTTACTTCACTTTGGCTCGGTTATTCACTCTACTGCTTTCGGCAGCAACCCCCTAAAACTTTTAAACATCAAGAAGCAGCATACATTGTAAGTGATATTATCAGCATTTGGAATAGCTTAAAACCCTTTTGACTTTAATATCACTTTAAGATGGGTGTGTAGATAATGAGTGTGAGAACCCAAGATTGAGTGACATTTTGTGTGTCATCTTGAAAATTCACAACTTTGCAACACTCTATCCAATTTAAAAACCCTGTGTGTCTCATTTCACATAGCAAAGAACTTCCATTAAGCTTCAAAAGATTTCTAATACGTTTGCAAAACAGTGCCATTTAGACTTTTAGCAGTAATCTAAACAGCACTTAGCAGAACATTGAAAGCCATAGATTGTTAAATAACTCCATCAGCCCTTTGGTTAAAACATTCCCTAGTCTGGTGTATTCAATACTGGCTATTTTCATAAAAATCTATTCAGCAGAAAAAATCAGTTGCATCTGATTTTAATTGACCTGAAAGTTCCCTGTTTATACCTTTTAGCTGTCCAAAATCAGTCATATTTCATAACTTTTGGGTTCTTATTTACATCAATAACAAGTTGCTTTTCAAATGCAGAAGAGAATACCCATCACTTTGTTACAACTCATGAGTCCCTTTGATTGGCCATGGCATTCCTGTAAATTCCCTCCTCAAGGTTGGTCCTCATATGATGGTTGCATCTGCATATCCGGGCTTTTGTTTTTTCCACTGACTATGCATGGATGTTAAGAGTCATCTCTGAGGGCCGTGACTCTAATACAGCAGATTGATCGGACTCTATCAGCACCACAGACCAGCCAAAACCTTGTTAAGTGCTTTTTGCTTTTATTTCCATTGATTTTATTATTGCTATTATTGTCTATTTGTGTAATTTATTTTCTGTAAGAATTTTCCTTGCTTCCTCCTTTTTTTGTCATGTTCATTCAATGATATTTAAAAATTGTCAAGCTTTATCTCTAATGCTCGAAATAAGAACTTAATGAAATCTTGTTTAAAAAGCGCTACTATATTTTCAAACTCTGTTACCTTCCTGTCTCAATGACAGTAGGTGTGGCAAACATTTTCCAAAAGGTCCGCTTTTTCTATAACAGATACAAGGAATGCTACATGTCTCTGGTAAAACATGTGGCTGCAGCCATTGTTTGTATGTGAAAAAGGGTTAACTGAGGAGTTAACTGACCCCAGTGATGATCACTCCCAGTTTGCTGGCACTGAGATTGCTGTCCTGTGAGCTGGAAAATCTATGTGCAGGGTGAAGCTGAGAGTGCAATTGTCACAAGGGGCACATTACTATGTTTTACCTTGAGTAAAAAGCTAAATAGCAATGTAATACAGAGACAAAAATATGATGCAATGTTTATGAGGTCATCATTCCTCAAACATTTTGCATGCTAAAATATAATGTGCTTACCTACTGCATTTCCTCCAGCTTTATCTGAAGAGGAACAATCTTTGGCCGTCTCCTCTGCTCCCTGAGCCAGGTTACCACCTTGCAATCTGAAAAATAAGAACATAAAAAGCTCAGTTTACATAGCAGTAGTCGTTATTTTCTTGGTATCACAACTTACAACGTGCATAGATCATATTTCTAAATGTTATGTTCACAAAGGTGTATAAAGGTGTATAATTAGCCTGCTCTGCAATTAGTGGAAATTTACTAATACTAGTACCCAGGACAGGAGCATAAAAATGACAGGGCTCTGTAGCAAAATTATGCAAAAAGTGTATAAAGGGAGATAAAAATACCTCAATGTCAGTGGTCAGTAGGAGAAAAAAATGCCCTAGAGTCAGTGATCATTAGGAGGAAGAAATAGGTCTTCAGCAGTCAGTAGGTGGAAAAAAATGCCTTATCGGTCATCAGTAAGAGAAAAAATAGCCCTGATGTCAGAGGTAAAAAATGCATTATCAATGGTCAGTAGGGGGAAATATGCCTTGTCAGAGCTCAGTAAGAAGGAAAAATGCCCTAGTGTCAGTAGTCAGTGCGTGGGTGAAATGTCCCACCACTAGGGTCAGTGGGAGGAAAAATATTAGCGGTTCTACAGAGGGCTTTGTGGGGGCTTGGGGACCTTGGGGGTAGATGTGGGGGGGTTAACTGTGATGGGCTGAAGGCACTATGGGAGGATCTGTAGTAGGCTAAGCGACACCCTGAGAGGCTGTGGGGCTTAGCAAGTGAAAGGAAGCCCTGGGGCAGGCCAGTACTATGGGGTGCAGGGGATTCTACAGAAGGCTATTTTGGTACTGTGCAGGGGTACTCTGGGGAGTCAAGGTGGGGGAATGGAGCTGCTGTGTCTGGCACAAGTGAAACTTCCCCTTCATTCTCTCTCCTTTCATGTGACAGTTCAAATGATCTCGAGAGGAAGAAGGAGACTTCACTCCCTGGAGGTTGCCCACACTGACAAGAGCTCTGCAGCTACTCTGCATTCAGTCCACCAATTCTCATCTCAGGGACACCTGAAAGGGCCGCCTTGGGTCCCATAGCCACTGTGTGGCTGCTATGGCGGCAGTTCCAGCACTACTAGTACCATCACAAGGACTAATATCGTTAGGGAAATGGAGATTGCTTTTATGTGCCTTCAGCCTGCTCCCATAGAGAAGAACAGGCTGCTGCGTACAATCAATACGCAGCACCTGTCCTTCCCGGGAGCGGCCCGATACAGCTGTACGGGCTGGCTCTTAGCAATGTGAATGAGGCGTAAGGGTCAATTTATAAAGATTACTAAACAGTTTATCACTCCTTAAAATGTACCTGTGCTTTGCCTTCCATTAAATCCCCCGCATCTCCATTTGCTTTTGGGAAGCAGATGAAGTTACATCTTTTTTCATTACATAGGACTTGCTCTGTTTTAACATTTCAAACAAATATGATAAAGCTTTACAATAATATGAAAGCGGATTGTTACAGGCAACAATAGTTATGGTTTCTCATAGAAGATGTAATGTAATACACTAACAAATGAAGCATGCATAGGAATTTACAGTAACAACTATTAAAACCTGAGATACAATATTTAGTATAAAGTGCATTTATTTGTTTTTGTGGTTTAACAGGGCTGTTGCTCCCGGATATGTGGTTTTACCAAGTGAATGAAGAAGCCAACTGCAAAATCTACAGGGGGAAAAGGTAGAGGGAGGGGAATGTGACGGAACCGCAGACTGCTATGCGGGTTTGCCACAGGCAGTGTGGGGTGCAAGGGGTGTCCTTATTCTGGGATTTTCAGGTTTAAGAGGACTTACACTTTTAGTTGCTGGGTTTTTATTTTTGCCCAGGTTTTAACTTTAATCACATATATTCAGGAACACATACTTATATAAAAAGAATGTACCTAATGGGGCAAAACCACAAGCTAATATCGTATTAATTTTTATTATATCAAATAACCTAGCTGCATTAAGCCACAACACAGAAAACGTGTAAAATTAATGTATCTAATCACAAAACAAAATATTAACCTGGCCAGGCATGGGTTAATCAATCAACTATACACTGACGCATAAACATAAGCCTGAATCAGCTTAAGCTTCCTATAAGTGCGATTATAAATGTTTATCAGAAAAGCCGATCAATATTAACCTATTGCTAATATTACATTGGCAGAGACTGGCAGAGATACTGTCTACAAGCACAGGGATAAAACCGAGAAAAATACAACATAATCAGCTTTTCTGGGAAATCGTAATCTGTACAATGTTCACTGGTACTAATACTTTTTTAAGAAATTAAAAAGCAGTTGAGTAAGGCTAGGACTGGTATGGTTAACAATTAAATGGGAAAAAGAATGTGTTCTAGTTATGAGACCATTAACTCTAAAACAAATGGAGATGCCTATAGCCTTCACAAATGTACATCAAATGTGTCAGGCAAGAGAACCAATGGAGTTTAAGAATACATATATGCAGGAGCATTTCTATGGACCTGTGTTCTTTCATTGGTATTAAATATATAAGTGTAGCATGAAAATACACTAGAATTTTAAGGAAATGTGGATCTGGAAATACTTGTATTCTATTGCTGACCTCCTTCTGAAAATGCTAGTTGCCTAGCTGTTTATGGCATCAGTACTTTATTAGTCACTTACCCAGGACAAGTGCACAGACAATGAAGTAACCTAATCTGCATACTTGTTTTGGGGCAGTGTCTCCAAAAGTATTAAAGCCAACGGCTCAGCATGACAGCCAGCTACCAATTAGCATTTCATAAGGATCATGCAGCAACAGTAGCCTCTCTATTTCTTGCAGTACAAGTTTCTATTAAGACTACTTTAAGGGTCCTTCTCACATACAAAGTGACACTTTAGAAAAGAGTCAGCAAATCAATTCACAAAATGAGTCAAAAAGTTTGATTCTTTTGAATATATCCAAATAGTGTGTAAAGAGTCATACATGTCATGAATCACAATCAGGATTCAAGAAATATGATACTGTGCAGTTGGAGATGCATCAGCGAAAAAGTAGATCATCCAAAAGGTAACCTAGACAGGAGTATAGGGCCCAGTGAAGGTCCAGCGGAACTAGATACAACCTTCATGCTCTTGCACTAAACCAGGGGGATAGTAAAAAGCTCTACACCTGCCTGTCACTTTATGAGGGAGGGTGCACTTGAAGGCAGTTGCGACAGGTCATGCCGGTACAAACAATGTGAATGGAGCGGCCTAATGTAATCCCTTTCAAAGTCAATCGAAGACATGCGGAGGGCCAATGCTGCTTCCCATCCAACCTTAATTCCTTTTTGATGTGTGAGCAAATATTAAGACAAACCAAACATTTAAGAGTGACCATGATGTGATGATTCCATCATCACCTACATAGCACTTCCTTATTAAATTAGTCCTTTAGCATGTAAAGAGCCTCTACGTTTACGTAACAGAAATATCTTAAAATGTATTTCCACTATTGCAGCCAGATTGGGATAACTCCTATTTTATATGTGTTACATGTTTCCATGCACATAGCATAAGCTAAAAAAAAAAATATTTAAAAATGCTTCTTGCAGTTTAAATTGCTTTTACTTGGATTCTTCTTCTTTGTAATGTTAGGAAGGGTTGTGAGGGGCTAAATAATTAAAAGTCTGGCTTCTTCTGCATTCAAATGTTAATAAAGTTAACAGAGAGAAACACATTCCTCAAATTTCATTCCTAAGTCTTTCTATGAGGACAAATCACTGCTAAGGTGCTCCGAAAAACCTGAAATCAGACATGTTGCCTGCTGCAGTAAAACATCTAAAAAGGTTAAAAAAAAATCAAAATAATTTTTCAATATGCTGTTCAAATGGGAGCACATAAACATATGGAGGGTTTTTTTTTTCTTTTTTTAAATAAGACTGCAAAAGTGGAAATACACTTTAAACTAATGAGTGGTTCAAGAACTGTAATCTTGTTTAGATAATCATTTTACAGTAACAAGCTGTCACAGCATAAAAAGACGCTGCAGGTTTATACATAACAATGCCTGAAGTAAAATTAGCAATTAGGGAAACAGTATAATGACATGAGTGATATGGTAATATAAGGTACTCAGAACTGCATATCACTTGTCATACAAGGAGTCAGTAGACATACCTACTCTGCATCCTAAGAAATTATAGGTAATTGAAGGGACTGACTGCCCCCTGAGTGTAGCATGTCTTCCCACCCACCCAACCCTAGAAATCCCTTATAATTAAAATAAAGTCTAAAAGGTTTTCCAGTATTGCCGTAGGGAAATTACATCAAGAACAAAATACTGGTAAGCCCACTTAGAGGACAAATCAATCTGTGCTCCATATTTTGCTTCAGCAATACAATACTTAAACTGACATCTTCTAAGATGTAAAGAAATGGACAACAGGTTGTTTTTTTATCACATGGACAACTACCTTAATTTTTTAGCTTGGAGGTGTATCTTCATTGTTAAAGTATGAAATGTTATCTGTTGTACATTTATGCTTCAGTTGCGCTTCAGCATTAAACCATGTGTTTAGAAAGGACCCCCCCAATTAATTAATCGCACCACCCAGCAAACCCTTTATACACTGCAGAGGAGGGCTCCTCCTGCATGCACACTCCATATATTTTCAGGGCCGGATTTACTCCCCTGCTCTTTCTTTATTTTTATCACTTTTTATTTTTTTATTCAATCATTTCTTCTTATTTTTTTAATTTTTTAATCAATTTAATTTTTTTTAGATTTTTATTTATCTTTTTACATATTTATCTTTTTACTTTTTTATAATTTACTTTTTATAGTTTATCGTATTATTGTTTATTTTTTATAATTATTTTCTTATTTTTTACTTTTTAATCACCTTTTTATTTTTTTATTTAATTATTTTATATATATAAATATATATATAGGACGCCGGAGGAAGTATCTGACAGCTGGGGGGAGGAGTTGCGGCCCGCCGCGCTGTGATTACACTACGGAGCCGGTGGGCGGAGCCTCGGGCCGCCCCGTCGTGATTGGATTATTTCAATATATTGCAAGCATTAGCGCTTGTGCATCATCCACCTTAGAGTCATTTAAAATTTAAAAAAACTAAATTTTATTTCTTTCATTAAAAAAACTTTCCTTACTTTTTTAGCACACCTACATTTTTGGAGGGCGATTCCATCATATTGATCGCCACTATTTCAACTTCCTACTTTTTAAAGTCTTTCACATACAGTATTAGTTTCTATTTTCTCCTCATCTAGTTTCAAATTATGATGGATCTCTACCTCTAACTAATATATTTAAATCATTTTTAAAAAAGACTACCACCTAACATGTTTTGCTGAATGTATCAGTTTTGTGCAAAAAAAACATTAAAAAAGTGCAAGTGGTCAGGTGCTAAAACAAAATGCTAGTTTGAAAAAGCTTTTAAGATTTACCTTCAAAACTTGAGAAAGTGGAACAGTTTGTATAGAAGCCTCCCAACAGGAGTTCATGAAGCAAGTGTTAGACATTTTTTTCATAAACACACATATACACACACATGTGAATGCTTATTGACCCATTACCCTTCCATGGCTGCTGTGTACCATACCAAGTTAGAGAGCAAAATTTAAGGCAAACTGCTTCTGCACTATTCTCATCACAAATCTGTAAGGCTCTGTGAATCCTTTGTCATAGACTCCTATGTAAATAAATCAGCATTTACTCAAATCCAGTACAGTTTATCCTCAAGTTATCAGTTTTCTTGTGGCTCTGCTTTAAACATACTATGCTGCAGCTCATTGACATTTCTGTGTATTCCCACTGTTGGCTGCTTATTAGCAGTTAGGGGTAGGGACCCAGCTTGTTCACAGTTCAGCAAATGGGAAAACAAAATGGCCAGATTTGCCCAGTTTGCCTGCCTACCCGAACCCCTGGCTCATGCAGAGGGCAGTCATTAATGTAGTAGTGGTATCACTACTGCTAATAAATGATAGTTTTAAATTGTAAACAAGTGGTGAAGATCTAAGGCAGTGGTTCTCAACCTTTCTAGGGCCGGGACCCCTTGGTAACATTTGCCAAGTTGTGGTGACCCCCAAAGGTAAAATTTAGGGATAACGCGGCTGCTGCAGCGACATCTGGAGGCGTGGCGGGAGAACTGACACTTCTGCGCTAGGAGAGAGCTGAGGAGGACTCTCACCTTGCACAGCGACCCACAGGTTGAGAACCACTGCTATAGGCAAAGACCGGACCAGGCTCTGCAGCTGGAACTAGAAGAATTGGATTTAAAGTGTGTGGCTATATAACGTATGAGGTACATACTCCGCAGTACTGTCACTGATAGGGATGGGCTCGGGCGTGTTTGCAGCTCCACGTGCCGAGCCCGCCAGGAAGCTGACAGTGCTCAGTGTCAATCAAGGCACTGAGACATTGCCCAATCTCTGCAGCTGTGGACCGGGAAAATGGAATGCATAGCTAGAGGTGTGTTTTGCATATTTGTTTGCTTGAATACATACATATTGCACCCGCCCTCTGCTGCTGTCAATCACTAGAAGAGGACCTGGTGGAGAACTTCAGGTCCCCCTCTGCTGATTGGCAGCATCAGAGGGCGGTTGCAATAGCTAGTTTGCTATTGGCTTTTGCAAAGTGAAATAGCCAATAGGAATCTAGCTATGCATTCCTATGGTGGTTTTTTTTCTGACTAGGCGACCCCTGGCAAATCGTCATTCGACCCCCGAGGGGGTCCCAACCCACAGGTTGAGAACCACTGATCTAAGAAGACGCCATTGACCAAATATGGCTGGCCAGTTTGTGTACATTGCGACAGCAGTAGCAACAGGGCAGCATGGTCGTTTCTGGTTGTCAGAACATCGGTCATTGTGATTGACGCTGGTTCTACTTCTCTGTATGATGTAATTGTTGTAATTGTTGCTGGGTTTATAGTTGGGGGGAGTTTTTAAAATAAGGGAGTTTTTCTACAGTACATCTCTTTTTATTTTTTCTTGAGTAACAAGTGGCACTATGTACTTCATCAACATGGTGCTTTGTGAGTAAGGGTAAAAGCTTTGTGCCCCCGGTTGAGGTTATGTGGCCTTGTATTGTTACAGAAAGGGGGCAGTGAGTACATGCCAGCCAGGCTATATACCTGGATAAGGATCAGGTATGGACCCTGTGCTGGGGGGGGTTTCTTAAAGGCACAGTACACAATTTTCTATATCTAAATTTTGCAGGAGTACATCGTACTGGTGCATAACTTTAGGTTGAAGGCATTTCCCGGATCTTTGTGTTTTTTAATGTTGCCCTTTAAGCCACATTAAAAGACCCTCTTACTGCTAAATTTTACTTGGTTCTCTCATCACTAGTTTGGAGCTGTAAAAACACAGCTCATGTCTTATAAACTCTCACAAACTGTATCCAAGCCAGAACAGTGTTTTTCTTTGGGAAAAATTGAATGAAAGAGAATGAGATTTATGTGCCATAACCCTTGGTTCTGCTCCATAGTAGTGTGTGTCTTAGAGAAAAAAGTCATTAAAATACACAACCTGCCACTGTCAAAGCATGGGAGCAACATTAATATTGGGAAGACTGAACCTGTGTGCTTATTTATTTAACTTCAACTATTTCTAGCTATGTCAGAACTTTAGGCAAATTAAGGTAACATGACTGTAAACTCCACTTGCCAATGTGAAAAATGTCATGGTTACAGGACTGTGCAATATGCAGTATAATTCTGTTCTCTGTCATCTTTACCTTGCACATCTTGAGCAGATATTGAGTGTGACTTTCGCTTGAGGTTCAGTAGTGTAAGTGCTACGTCCTTGGCTAAATTTACTTCCAGATGGCATCACACTGGTAACACCCTCCATTCGAAGATCATCAAGGTCTTCTACAATACAAACAATTAATGATACATTGTAAAAACAGATTATTACACACACTGATATTATGCTACCAAAACTTAACTATGTATAAGTCTCATCCGATAGGAAAATACTTTTAACGGATCCCTCACCAGCCAATAGGTGACATCCACACAAAAAATCTATTTGATTAGGGCCCCTCTGTTTAGGAACAAGAAGGGTCTTAAGCTCATAAGCAACCCCACTACTGAGGCCTCTACATCAATTACTACAGTGAAGCAGGGTCTGGTGCCCTCTTTGTTATTGACATGTATGGTATTATCATACCAAGATCAAAAAAGCTCTCTAAGGCCCTTAGAAAAAAGATCATGGTTGTCTATAATTTTGTCATATGATTTAAAAAGATCACCAAACTTTTTGAAAACAATCATCTACAGACAGCAAACAACTGCTAATTTGTCCAGGTCAGGCTGGACAGGAAGTTCAGTCCAAGAGCTCACCAGTAATGCTAAAAGAAGGCTCCAAGAACCCTGCAGTTTATTTGTGAGATCTACAAGTAACTCTTGCAGCAGTTGGTGTCAAAGTGTATGCATCTACAATCAGAAAGAGATTGCACCAAATTAACCTGCATGGGAGGGTTTCCATAAAAGAATCTGCTGTCTAAAAAGAACATTAGAACAAGACTACAGTTTGCAAATGAACATCTAGGCGAAGACCAGGTCTTCTGGAACAATGTGCTGTGGAGTGATGAATTAATTATAGAATTGTTTTGCCACAGTAACGGTAAACATGTTTAGTGCACACCAAAGACAGCATTTCAGGAGGCGAACCCCATACCAACCTCGAAGCATGGAGGTAAAAATGTTATGGTTTGGAACTGTTTTGCTGCTTCACGGCCTAGGCAGCTTGCACTCATAAAGTCAACTATGAATTCTACATCATCGCAAAGTGTGCTTCAGAAGCATGTGAGACTATCTGTGTAAAAGTCGAACTAGAAATGCATATTTCAACACAATTATGATCCAAAGTACACTGTCAAATCCATTAGGGAATTACTCTAAAGCAAGACAATTAAATGGCATGGCCTGGCCACAAGCATTTTGCAACTAAAGATATTTTGCAGATAGGAGTGGTCATAAATTTCAGAGACTGGCGGACAGTTATGGAAAACACCTATAAGAAGTAATTTCTGCTGAAGGGGATAATAACAGCTTACAAGGGCAAGGGTGTATTTAGTTTTGCAAAGTATACCATTTCATTTATTTATATTTTTCTTAATTAAATGATTAAAAGGACGGATTTTCCTTTGGTTTCAATTTAAGTATATGACCTCTTTCAGCAGGCAGTGTTTGAATACAGATCTAATGTTTGCTTGTTCAAATATGGTAAAATAAAAGTCAACATGACGTGTGCTGACTTTTTCACATGACTGTATAATGACAAACTACATAGAAACAAGGTTTTTGTGCTGATTATTTTTATGTCTTTATTTTAAAAGATTAAAAAAGCTAGAGATCCTCTTTTCAACATGTCAGTCAGTGTATGTAAGATGATCTGTCTGTATAGCTTGCTGCAGGTCTAGCCCTCAGCTGTGGGTTAATTAATCTGGCCACAGTGTGTTTCAGCTTGTGTGCTGGCTGCAGGTTTACCTCTTAGCTGTGCAGTATGCTCCTGCCTTACACCCCCAGCTGGGATTGGCCTGGGTCCTTGAAGGTGCTCTATCTAAACATCATCAGCCTGTTCCTCAGTGCTTGTGATACAGTCTCCTGACTGAACAAGTGCCCTCCTGTTTGTGTTAATTCTGGATTGACCTCAGCTACGTTTCTTGGATTCCCGCTTGTCTCCTACCTGCCCTGACCTCTTGCTACGATTCCCGGATACTCCTTGTCTGCTGCCAGCCCTGACCTTTAGCTTTGTTCCTGGATTCCACTTCAGATCTCACCGTCCACTGCCCTACGCTGCGTTTTCTCTGCGGATCTGTAGTGACATCCACAGTCAGAGTATATAGTGTAAGTCCTGGGGGCATCCAAGTACAGGTAGAATGAGGGGATGTACTTGTACTTGGGCCTGAAAAAGTGGCATCGGGACATCCCTAGTAGGCACACTAACCTTAAGGGAAAGGCGGCTGCAATAGGTGAAAACAACATCACTATATACTCGGACCTGGGTATTTGCTTACATGACCTTACACAACAGCCTTATTTTAGAATCTTGAAAGCACAATCTATTAAAATATACAGTACATGGAAATACTGAAATAATCTTCCTCTGCATATTCAGTATTCCTTTCCCACAGGCATCTTGATCAGGTCCATCTGTCAGTTTTTTAGGTGGATCTGATCAGAAGCCCAGTGTTGGTCTATGGGCAGCCAGATCTAAATGGATGTGTCTCTGTATAAATCCGATTACCTCCAACTACGAACAGGTCCGGAGAACCAAACAGGACAGCATTCCGTTTTGGAGGACCTGATCGTGGTGGATGTTATCTGATGTAAATGGACACATGACAGTTTACATCCAACTCCAATTTCAGTTTTTTTCTCCATCAAAAGATGGAGGGAAAAACTGCACGAACACGGATGTCACAACGGTGACATCTGTTCTGAACTGCTCCAATCAGCAGGGTATCTGTACATGGATGCCCTGCAGCTTAGAATGGAAGACATTGACTGAAAGGGGACTAAAGTTCCACCTCAATGTTAATTTGTCATTTTTTATTGAACAATATACCACAGAAATGGGAGAGAAGAGAGGTACTACACTTTTATTAATTTTAATTATTTTTGTGTACATAGAATAGATGATGTTAATCATGTCCCTTAAGCAATAATGTAAAACATGTTTTGTTCTGGATTTTAAGCTGTGGGATCGATAGCCACTGATGTTCTGTAATGATGAAGAAAGAGAAATATCACATAACTTCCTCCTTCCAGTTTTCTGTCTGTAGAGCTTTCTCAGGATAACAGTGTTACATCCAACATTTTAAACATCTAGTCCTGTCATGGTAACCTGCAAACAGGATTCAGACAGAGCTTATGCAAGAGTCTAAAAGAGTTAACACTTTACCTTTCAAATGTAAAGTCAATGCAAGAACCAAGGAAAGTGCCTTCCTTCCCTGTCTCTTCCATTACATTATTTAGTTTTTTTGCAAAATTTCAAAACTTCCATTAGTCAATTTAATGTGTATATTTTTGCTATATAGCAAGCTTTCTACAGAAAAAATATTAAATAAGATTTCTAACTTAACACAAAGGCAAAATAAATGATGCCACTAGGCGTGTATAAAAAGGGAGAAAAGAAAAACTAATTGAAAGCACAAACATACACCCACAGGAAAATTCTATTAGGCGTTTAGTTGCTTCTGCAGTTTTCATTGTGTATCACCATAAATGAACAGGGACAGCTCTTGATCGATTGCTTAATAATTTGCCAAGGCTCCCAATGCACAATCCTCTTCTATGAGGAGTCACTGTGGAATTGTTTATACCTACTGAAAAAACATGAGAATGTATAGAAGTCGTTCGGCTAGAAAAAGCTAAAAATGTTTTATTATGCTCTAAAAATAATATATTTAGAATTTTACTTTGAAGAGACAATGAGGAAAGTAATTGTCAGATCCTCTTTTCACATATATAAGCTATCCTCTGGACAAGTGCCCTTTGCAGCTATATATGAATGTCTCCCCACCACATCACCTTGGTAACCTATCACCATGCTTCGTGAGTGCCTCTTCTCAACATTACTGAACAAGAAATCTTTTGGCAATACCGGTTTCCCATGCTTCTCTATCAATTGAAATGACCTGGCTTTTTGACAGACACTGTTTAATTATGAATAGGCTTGAGACGTCTTTAAGAGCTGACAATCCCATTACCTTCCATTTACACTAAAAGGGATAAAACAACATATTTTTTTCTCTGTATTCTTTTTTTTTTTTACTTCCTTTTCTTTCACAAGCTTTAATTTTTGAGCAGATTTGTTTTAAAAGTACAGCTCTGTTCAAGCTATTCCCGCACTCTCTGGAGGACCTTAATGCACCTTTTAAACTCTTGATTAGCCAGAAAGTTGGGTTGCACATGGAGGATGCAAATTGCAGGACTGAGATCTTTCTGTATAGCAGAGATGCTGACAGCTGGAGAAAAGAGAATCCAAGTTCATGGCAGAGACATTCTAAGGACAAAGTACAGTTCCTACTTGGCTGACACATTGGAACATCTAGGGATTATGGTTTCCAAAATTAACATATTAAACAACTATGATATATTACCAAAAAAGCTGTAAATCACTGATCACTATACAAAATGTGCTGACACAAAATTATTCTCCACTTAATGATCACAAGATCAAACTAAGGGGGTTATTCACTAAGCTGCATAAGGATTTAGCCGAACGTTCGGGTAATCCTTTGGCTCACTTCGGCTGCAGGAACCCTTCAGTTTAGCCGAAACGAAGGGCTGCTGTATGTGCTATCCACAATAGCTTGCACAGCAGCCAAAGCACCCAGCTGAACCGGGAAAACAGTCCAGTAAAGCAGACCGACTCCACACAAATAGTAAAAGATAGATTAGAAAATCCTGGCAATTCATAGCAGACCTTTTAGGTCTGGTAGGAATGTTAGGAGGGAACCTCGATGTAAAGAAAATACAAATGTGTGGGGTTCTCCCCAAAAGTCATACCAGATCCTTTAGGTCTGGTAGGAATTTGAAGGGGAACCCCAAAGCCTAAAATTCCCAATTGTTCTATTAAAGGATTTTTTCTAAAGTGTTGTGTGGTTATTTACTTTTGCCTTCACCCTTTGGTGAATGAGTAGGGGTAACAACTCATTCACAAGGGGGGTGGCATCTGGGTGCCCCCTTTAAAAAAGGGGGTGCCCAGATGCAGATGAGTCCCCGTGCTCGCAGACCCGAATAACCACCGGGCCAAGGTTGTGGGGTGGCG